GGACCTTTGTTGCACTATCTACAAATGTTTGCGGCCTATACTTCACTTGTATTTCGAAACAACATCTGAGCATAACGGGAAATTGGAAATTCAAAATAACAAAGCTAATTAATAACTTCATTGCTACAAAAGAAATTATAATACAACCTCCAACACACGATACCTAACTCAAAAACCCCATCCCTAAACTCATTTCTAACTTTAGAACTGACTCTTTCTACATATCTATCTACAGATCCATTTTAAAATGACTCCACAGAAAAATTTGAAGATCCAAGTTTTACGCACACTAGGTCTTATTGAATGGAGGGTGTTGATTTCAGTTTCCATCTCTCCCCTCGCTCGTAGAAAGCCAAGAATTAGCTCTTTCGCACATTGGAGGGTCACACCACACGAAGAAGATACATCCACCAATATCTTGACTATGTGGGAATGTGAGAAATCGTCTTCCTCGATCAAGTTCGTCCATGAGGTTCTCATCTGCACCGGGTTGCCATATCTATAGACGTTCATCTCCATGGTCAAGCTAATTCTAACAATTACCAGGAGAGATGAATTTATTATTATGGCAGGAAATGAAAGGAAATAAATAATGATTTTTAGGAGAATGTGTAAAAGATAAAGTGACGAAAATACCCATCTTTTACTTGGTCAACTAATGGCTGAATTGACGGTTTTCATCATTTTGTCCTTGGTGTTGCAATTATTGTAAGGTTTAGGACTATGGATAACACAAATGAAAGGTTTGAATAAAGTTTGCAAAAAAGGAAAAAAATGGGACCTTTGCTGCAATTATCCCAAAAAATAATTGTATACAATTATCCCAAAAGTACCCTTAAAATTAGGGATGTTTTGAAAAATCATGTGAAAAGTTTTTAAGAAGTAAAAAATACTGTGTAAAATGAAAAAGTGACACAATGTCACTTTTTGATTAAAAAAATGTCAATTTTTAACCTTTTTAAAAAAGTGACGCAAACTCAAAAAAGTGACAAAACTAAAAAAAGTGACAAATACTAAAATAACACCATCCATTTGTGCAACACCGATAATCATGTTATTAAAATAATAACCACATTCATGCCAATCCACATGCTGATTACGTAAAAAAAAAGTGACAGTGATAATGTGAATTCATTGTCACTTTTAAAGTTAAGTGTCACCTTTTTATTAAAAATGACATACAATGTCACTTTTATTAAAAATTGATATTTGTCACTAAAAAAGTGATAGAAATCAAGAAAGTAACTGAAAAAAGTGATAGAAATTAAAAAAAGAGACAAACATTGACAAAGATTTAAAAAGTAGCAAACATAAAAAAAGTTACAGAAAAAAAAGTTTTTAGGAAGTAAAAAATGCTGTGTAAAATAAAAAAGTGACACAATGTCACTTTTTGATTAAAAAAAATGTCAATTTTTAACCTTTTTAAAAAAGTGACGCAAACTCAAAAAAGTGACAAAACTAAAAAAAGTGACAAATACCAAAATAGCACCATCCATTTGTGCAACACCGATAATCATGTTTTTAAAATAATAACCACATTCATGCCAATCCACATGCTGATTACGTAAAAAAAAGTGACAGTGATAATGTGAATTCATTGTCACTTTTAAAGCTAAGTGTCACATTTTTATTAAAAATGACATACAATGTCACTTTTATTAAAAATTGATATTTGTCACTAAAAAAGTGATAGAAATCAAGAAAGTAACTGAAAAAAGTGATAGAAATTAAAAAAAAAAGACAAACATTGACAAAGATTTAAAAAGTGGCAAACATAAAAAAAGTTACAGAAATTCAAAAAAATGACAAAACACTAATTAAAACATTAGAATTAGTTCAATAGAGTAACAGAAAATAGTGATAACAAGTCAAATTATCCAATGAAAAGTCGACAAAGCAACAATGGCAACAACAATCCTACAAATTAGACCTCCATTTGGAATACACCTCCATTTCCTTTCTGACCCATGGCTTCCACATGCCGCTCCATTTGCATTAACTTTTCCCTAACCAAAGAAAGGAGGCCTCCATTGAACTGGTTGAAATCTTGGAGCTTGCCATGGCCGAACCGTAATCTGGAATCTCTTGAGCATGTGTAGCCTCGCCTGAGAGTTAAATAATGAACCTTTATCCGCCAAATTTTCTTCTCGAGCCTCATTGTAGACAAATAATTGGATCTACCCCATCAATATATCAAGAATCCCTTTTCTTTGACACCCATTAATTGTCTCTGTTATAATTCTTCTGTTGCTTCTTCTTGAAATAGATATACAATTGATGAGTCAAGTTTTGTCTAAGTTGTAGGATCTTAAATGTCTGGCATTTGATTTAACTTTTTATTGATGAAGTATTGTACCTTCATCTCATTAATTCTGAACAAAGTCTTCATTACTCTTGAACTTGTTAAGATCAACAAAGTGAAGTAAACCCTGCAATATTTTAGGGAGAAACTAACGTAAACCACCAGTTGGCTGCATATAGATAAAGATACCTATCAAACATAAACATATGGATAGAAAACATCCACAATAGTTCAGTGATATGCAATAATTACAAATGGTCCCCAAAATACAGGCAAATAAACATAAATAACAAGTTGACTCCCATGAACTCCCCCTTCCAAACTCCCAAAGAAGAAATCTTCTTTTACCATGGCGGCGCAAAAGAATCCAAAGAAATTACCTGCAACACCACGTTTAACACAAAGCGTGATGGTCTCCGGCACAACTTGAATTCCGTCTCTGCTTTTTTCTGTTTTTGCGCCATAGTTACAAAAATAATACACACAATTTTGACAATTAAATAAATAATTAATATTTATTGTGAGTGATGTGAGATTTCAAGGATTTGAA